TAGAAAAGGTTCTCTCTTATCTCGGCGAACGGTTATTCGTTAATACATTTCTGAACGACTAATTGCGGCTAATGTAATCGCTGAATAATTACAATACGCACGATGATCGCTCTGAAAAAAGAACAAGCATATAATTATTACGATTGAATAAGACATTAAAGATAATTTCATACGGCGAACAAGTTTTTTATATCTATCGCCGTTTCTATTATTTTAGGGCGACACGCTGATACATTCAGTTGTAGCACGCGGCGATTCTCATGGGGAGGTCTTGGCGGAACTGTTAACGTTGAAGACGGTGCAAGGAAATCCCGTGTTCGATTTATCGAGGTGTAATTATGATGGTTAGTTAAACAGGAATGAGATTAAAAGCATGAAATTGCACAGAAATCCGATACAAGAGTAAAAATACGTGTGCATTTCAGGGAGAACCGCTCTTCACATCGCAGTCGAATCGCACGATCCTTTCGGACGAGGCGTCAAGTCCTTGGGCGTAACGGATCTTCTCTTGAAAAATGGCGCAAATATCAAAATCAAAGAAAGCAAGTGCGGCGATACTGCTTTACATATGGCAGCCTCATTGAGTTGCGATCCTGCACTCGTGAAGGTAATCCACCTGAGGGATTTCCCAGCTTCGCGCGTCAATTACCCATGAAATTGTGAAGTTACCCGTGTAATAATCGGCTCATTGGACTGATAAAATGATATTTATACGTTCTGCAATGTGTATCACTTCTTGGAATTAAAAAGAAGTGTTACAAATATCGATATGAGAAACCTTGGGAGTTTCTTAGAAAATAAGAAGAAGATACAATATCAAGAATAACAACAAACATTGTTTTGAAACATTGAATAGTTTTTCAACTTTAATCCCAAGAGATTTTCCAAAATTAATTCTAATACATGTAAATAGATTTGTTTTTCAATTAATTTCAAATGAGTTTTAATTAAGCAGTAATTTATAACTTAAATGCTATTAAGATGGTATATTGTTAAATATTGATAATTCAAAATTTATAAAGACAATCTATCAAAATTTCATTAAAGGAAGATTTAATTATAAATTTACTCAAAGATCTTATAGTTAAAAAAAATCCGCATCTTCTGAAACATATTGCGTGATAATTCGAATGTTGTGTTTAAACATGAAAGGCTCACTCATTTCTTATCTCTTTTCTTCATGTCTCGATTGGTGGATAAAATCGGTAGAAAGATCCACCAATCAGAGATGGCTATAGAAAGTAAGAAGTTGAAGCAAGAAGTAATTGATCACTCTTATTCACCCAGAATTCCGCGCGATAATCTTTGACATGCAGTCGACAGTGTTATCAATTTGATTACAAATAACAAAACAAGTTATATTAGGCGTTAATAAAATCAATTTTGCGTATTTTGACACGTTTTTCTCAATCGCATTTAGATATTATATAACACGTAAGATAATTGTCTCTTTTTTGAGAGGGACCGCAACATCCGCCATTATTTTTCATTTTATCCCGAGAGCATTTAATCGTAATAATATTCTATACAAAAAGTTATCTCTTCCTTTCTTACAACAAACACAATTTTTCTAACAAGATGTCGCACTCGGTTTCTTGTCCCGCAAAAATCAGTGATTTTATCAAACAAACAAACAAGCTAATTATTTATAAACAGATAAAAAAAATAAAAGAGATGCAAATATGTAGAAAAAAGATATAATTTTTTTAAAAATAAATTGTAGATTAGGATAAATCCTTAACGCAAATTATTAAACACACTGGTGATTTATTTAATATCTTCGTCTTAAGATTAAATTCTAAGCACGACATTGTTGATTTCTATTTACGCAAATTATGCTGAAACTTTTCTCGCATTTTTGTAGGTATTGCTGCGCAAGGCTACTTCGAATGTTGTGAACGAGACCAACTACATGTATAACACACCGTTGCACATGGCCGCGGCGGTTTCGAGTAATGTAGACTTGGAAAAACAGAAAGATGTCTGTCGACTCTTGATACAAGCTGGAGGCCAGACGAACATACAGAACCGGCAAGGAAAGACACCGCTGGCGCTCGTGTTGCCAGAAAGGAAAGAATCCATCAAGAGGATATTTTACAAAAAAGCGTGATAACAATAAAAGACATTGAAATGAGCTCGATTGATGGGCTTTATATAAGACTGATTTCTGCGGAAGTATTTAGGAGCACTTGGACTCCTTGACGGTTTCCGCTCCATTTTGTGAACTGATTGCAATAGGACTCGCGACGTTCATCACGAGCAAACCCTCAAGACTGTGACTCAAACCAGCAAGGAGTATCAACGATACGTACAACGTTATTAATCGCATGAAATTATTAGGGAAGTTGTAATCCCGAGTTGCGCGAGTCGTCAAGAAGAAATCATAATTTACTAGAACATCTTCGTATTCGTAATGTCTATTTAGCTAAATTAATGTTTTTCGTTTAATTTTTTATTTTACTTTCAGAATGACATTTACTATTCTAGTTGCAATCTAGTGATATGTATAATATAATTTTAATATAAAACGAGACTAAAATTAAACATAAAATCAGGCATTTTACGTTAAATATGAAATTGTGTCTTAAAATATCTTTATGTCATATATTGCTATGTCTTTAAGTTAAATTTGTACAGTTAAGATAGTAAATACTAATACAATTAAATTATATAATTGAGTAATTATTGCACTCAGTAATGTTTAAATAGCTAACAGAAGCGAATATTTTAGTACCTCAGACCAAATACTTTCTAGAACTAGAACTTAACATTACTTACGATAAATGTCGATCAATTTCGCTTATTTGATTCATGACACTTTATTTCCTTTTCTTTTTCTGTTTCTATTCATGTGATAATACCTACTTGCATTCTCATGATTTACAGTTGAAGTGTACAAAAGTTACTCCATTCAGTTGCTCAAAGTTTTATTAAATCGCGACGTTAGCAAACCGGATTGTTCTATTATAATATTTACAGCGTCTTTCTTTGATTAACATGTATGTACATATCATTTACTGATACTATTTTATGTAAATTAATAACATTTAAATATTAATTTTCAATACAAACATTCGTGTGAAATATGTACATATTTTTAATATATCAAACGTCTATGTATAGTGTAAACCTTGTTTCACGAATCGAGTTTTTCCACAGTTTTTCCAGCTATTTGTGACATCAGCAACAACGGGAAAGAAGTCTCTCGTTGAGAAATTTTCTCTATTATATCGCGTTATTTGATTTTTACTTGGAAACGTGGTCTGGAAAGAGCGAGGTGATCAGCCAGATCTAAAATCGTTACGTGGAACGATCGTAAATATTATTACGAGATTAATCTCGGCGCCAATCTTCTTGCCGCCGTGTGTATAGACGTGTACTTCTTGATTGTGTATTTCCATGAATTGAAAAGCTGGTACCGTAAAAGTCACCATGTTGTGCGTGGTGACTCCATATCAGTAAGACAGTACGGTGTGTTGCAGGAGTGTGTATGTGTGCGTGCATGGGTATTACGCGAATTTTGTTTAACACTCGTCGATAAAAGTGTGCTACATTAGCATATATGTAAATCGTAAATATATTTTTATACACACAACTATAGTGTGTGGCGCCCGGTATTTCCGTCTCTCCCGCATCGCGAGCGATGTTGTAATCCTTTGTAATCTGAATGCTTCATGCGACATATCTTAATGTATATTAAAGTCCTTGTTCATTGATTTATAGCAGTGACAATTCAAACGTTTCGACCTGAGCGACAGACATCGAAGACCTAGATACAAAAATAAAATGAAAATAGAATATCTGTCTATTCTTGCAAAAAATATTTCGTATATTATAAAAATTGAATATATAAAAAACGTGCTGTGTTTTATTTTTTAAAAAAGATTGCATTTTTAAAACATTAGTTTTTCGCCCAATTATATCGTACTTTTTTTATTCTACAAGAAAATAATAATTTAATTCAATAGTTTCACCTGCTTCGCTTATATATATAATAGCCAATCCATCACTGTCCTGGTGAAAATAAAAATCGGAGCGTAAACCAAATAGATATAAGAGAAAAGTGACAGAAATATAGATAAAACTCTCAGGAAACCAAAATTGGTACAAAAGAAAGCGTTTTAAGAAGAAACCGCTTATCTTTTATGCCAATCATTTAAGCTTTCTTGGAGTTTCATTTACATTTGTGCCACTCTCCCCTCATATTTGGTTTATGTTCCAGCCTTTATTTTAAAATGTTTAGTAATTCGCTTAATATTGATTAACATGATTATTATTCTAGTCATTTTAAAGTGATGCATTATTAAATTTACAAAGACAAGGATTGCTCACTTCTCATCCATCATACGATTTTTTTTTCCTTGTATTTCCATCGCGCATGTATAATCGCTTAATACGAGGAATCATAGGTATTGCAAATTAGTACAAACTAACTAATTTGTAATTTAATTTGCCGTTGCATTATCATAATGGTTCTGACAAGCATATCAATTAGAAATTTTTCACTATCCTGTAACAATCATATTATTATATTATATACCCAAGCAAAAGAACAAGTCACGGTAACGTCAAAATAACATTAAAATGAATCGGAAATGATTGAAAAATAATTTTTAATAATCATTTTGGAGTCATTTTGATATCATTTATCATATTGACTTGTTGTTCTGCTAGAGTATGATCATATAGTTTTCTATAAAAATTATAAATCTTTGTAAAATATTTGATTTAAAGATGTATTTATTATTTCTTCTATGTGTGGCATATATTACAATATTCATCCAAATAAATGTTTTAAGCTGCAAAAAACAAACGTTTAAAATAATATTGTTAAATATAATGTTTTTATTTTTACATTAATAATAATCGTGTAAAAATGTAGAAAAAGTAATTTCTAATATTTTTAGAGTATATAATCATTAATCACTAACATTGAAGTCAACAATTATAAAATAACTTCTAAAATAGTTTCTAACCATTACGTGTGTATTACAATGACATTTATAGAATAACATTATCAGAACAATTATAATATCGCAATTTATCGTACAATAATTCTCAGACATTCTTTGTCAAACTGACTGCGTTCTTCCGGTCTTATCATGCGACAAAAGCATACTGGTATTGTCAGACCGACTATTATGTAATACTAATTGGCGCGCCAAACCCTGCAGAACTTTACAATCACCGGAATATATTCACCAAACAGTACATGCATGTCAATCTCCATAAAAAAGCGGTACGAAAGAACTGTCTATCTTAATCGCGCACTCGACCGTGGATTCATCTGTCGGCAAAACGACCCCCGAAATAGTCATTGCCTGCTATCGTTACGATACGTTCAACATCGAGAAAGTAGTGTTCGTTGTTCTGGCGAGTTCTTCGTGAAAAAACAGAGGATCTGCCGACGGGAAGCGTCGCTAAAACATACCGGAAATTTGAAATTTAATATCAAAAGAAGCTTGAAGAAAGAATATTGTAGAAGGCGCGGATAAAACGGTTTTTAAACACAAAGACGACAATGGAAATTTAGAAAGTTTAGTTTTACCATACGGAAAACTGCCAAATTCGAAAGTATGGTGAGAGCATTTCTTTTTCATTTTTTGTTTACAATATATTATCTTTAAAATATGTTATCTTTTATTATTATCAAACTCAATGTACTTACTTGTATTATAATAACTTGTATTAAAATATAAATTATATAAGTATACTATATATGTATTTTAATATGCTACTTTTAATTATATCTATTTTTCAAAACTCATAATAAAATTTTATTACTATCTCTAAAAATATGTTCTGTTGTAGAAGCTTTTTTTGCATTAATGTTCGCTTTTTATCAATAAAAATTCTGTTCTGTGACACCAGAATAATTTTTTGTTCTTACTTTAAACAATATTTTTTATTTATGTTTGTCACATTTATTACATTTATGAGCGCATTCATATTTAACATGTGTCCTATAAATATCAGCTACATGATAATTTATAATTGTCGTCTCTTTGTACATCGAAAATTACGAGATAACACATATTCAGCAATCAATATATTAATATGCTCGCTTTTAATTTATATTTACATGCAAATAATTAATATTTATTTGTAATGGATATCTACGTTTTTTTAATCACAAACCATTTATTTTCCGTTTAAAAGGAAAAGCCCCTTTTAATCATAGAATAATTCGGTTGTGTGTATACTCTTATTAATCAGAAATGAAACATTTCCCTTTCTAATTTTAGCGTGAGTACAATCGACGGTGAGATTTTATGTGCAGATACAACGTGTACGTTGAATATGGGAACGACCCTACTCGCTGTAATATTCATTGTGGTATTGTGCACAACTGCAAATAATATCAACGAACAATGCCAAGTTCATAATGAAAGGTGGATTACGTGTAGCTGCATCGGAAACGAGGTATACTGATTAACATCTCTATATCATATCGCCATAATCTCTGCACTTCACTTGTATTTTGGTTTTGTTTCAACAAATGCTTATGCATTGGTCTATCTTGAAATAAATCGCCAATTTGCATAGATGTATTGAACGTCAATTGTTTTTTTTTGCAAAAATATCAGGTAGTTAGAGAGTAATTTTAGAATTACAAATATTTTTACGATGATAGAAGAATTACAAAAAGTTATACTTCCGATTATAGTCAAGTTTGAGTACTCTTTCTTAGCATTGTATAATTTTTTAAATTAAATATAACTAAAAAGAGAAGAATTTCAATATATACATTGTAAGATTTAAGATAAAAAGATACATCGTACCTGGCGAGAATTTCAAAATACTTATAGAACTTCTAAAACTATAAGAAAATATATTTAATTTTTACAGTTGACTTAGTGTACGTACACTCTTTGTATTTAAAGTGAAATAAGTACATTTTTTATATTTGGTAACAATAAAAAGTGCAGTTCAGTTCATCAATAAATAACGAACTTCGTGACTTCAACTAATCCCAGTTAATTTAACTGTAGCATTTTATTAACACGGATAAAATTAATTTTCTAAAACGATTGTTGTTTAAAAGCAATAATAGCATTAATTAATTGTAAGTATAAAAGTATACGATGGATATTTTCCTTTAAAGAAATTTCATTTAAGGAACATCGTCTTCTTCTACAAAAATTGCCCATTAAAAATTTTCAGCTGATTTTGATAACATTAAACATGGATGGATAACATTATATATATATGCAAGATGTTATATATAACTATATAATTATCAATATATCTATCTTTTAATAAGAGTCATAAACAGCCACTTGCCAATAATAACAGATTTATTTTATAATTTAAACTAATATTTAATTTATCGTTTTCACTTATTTTACGAGATCGAGACTAAAAATCTCAACATCTCAATATTTTTATGGCGACTTTCTTCTTTTGTCCTACTTTTTTTACTAGCTTTGAAATAACATTATCGTTTACAGTGTACGTGGTGATAATTATCTCTTCGTAAAAATGTTAAAGTAAAATACATAAGAATATAAAATAAGTCGACATGAAATAATTGAGGATGTAGTGCCCTTAATTGGATTTAATATTTTAGGAATTTTTTCTACCAGAAGCATACAATTACACGAACACTCTCAGCGTGTCGGTCACAGGATGCGTTTCAGCAAACCTCCATTACTCCAGTTTTCCGGAGGCGAGCAATATCGAGGAAGTAATAGTTCAAAATATCAGTGGTAGCCTGAGTTTTGACGTCTTCTTTTCGTCAAGCCATATGAAATTGTTGAAGCTCTCGAACATTGGTCGGATACCGCTGATAGCAAGTCACACGTTCACGAACTTGAAAGCTATTGACACGCTCACGATCGAGAATACGCTCATCGAGACTCTCGGGGAAGAGTTTGCTTACATCAATATCTCGCACTTCATCATGATGAACGTTACGATCGAACGAGTGTTCTACCTAAACGTCTCCGAAAAGGGCACGAAGTTGCGCATAGTAAACAGTAAGCTACATAATGTCACGGAAACCTTGAATTTCGCCAATTTCTTAAACATCGAGATCATTGGCTCCAAGTTCGAAATGCAGAAACCGGGGCTAATGTCCATCCAAGGCGATGTCGCCATCGTGAAAAACAACATTTTCTCGAACGTGAGCATGAACTTGGTCACCACGACTGCCATCGTCATAAACGGCATTTGCGCGGATGGCAAGAGCACTTTAAGGCTCAGTTCGAGGAGCATTGATAGCACAGATAACAGACTACCGAATGAAATAGCTTATCCAGGAAACGATCAGCGTGGAGAACCTCTCACGGAATTTCTCACAATTCGAAACAATACGGTCTGCAAAGCAGGCAACTGCAAATGTTCGATAAGTAGCGGACAGGCTTCGTGTCCTGTTCGCGTCAACACAGTATACATTTTCTTGTTAACAGAGTTCATATTTATACGCTATCTTTGATATCTTCACTATGTTGTAATACTACCATATGAGTCTGGCTAGATAAAACCGGTTCGTGAAAAGTCAATCTCAATTTAATATTGTGATCAAAATGTAAAGTAATTTTAAAAAATGTAAACAGCATTTAGATATTTCTAGACATTGAATCATGCGATTATACTGAAGACACTGGATACTTAGTGATAAAGTGCAGTTGCTTGTCAAGCGAGAAACTCGAATTTATTTCTGGATTCTGCGATTTTACATATGATAAGATAAAGAATTTTATATAAAGGAGTATAAAGAGAAACAAAAATAAGTCCGATAATAACACTAGATAAATAATATTTGTATTTTCTGAGAAGAACAAAAAATCAACTAAGTATTGCGTTGTGATGTTACAATCACTCGGTTTTCCTTCATGAGCTATAGAGGAAAACATATAATTTGCCAAATTTTTAAGCTATTTTCTTGTTACATTTTTGTAATATTCCACTTATTCCATATTAGTCCTCAATCTATTCTTTGTTTAACATTAGTTATATATGTAAAAGGAATTTACTTTGAAAAAAAAGCCAAATTTAATTAAGTAAATATTTAAATTTTTATTGGCCTAGTCCGGTTTCTTTTTGATTGACCTGTATATTCTTATTCTTTCAAAATTATAATTATCTACTATTCATTTAATTATAATTGTAAGTATAGAAGGAAAAAGTAGGTAAAGAGAGAACAGATCTATGTTAAAACACACGAACTGTATATATGAGTTAGGAAATCACAAAGCACCTTTATTTAATTCACAAATTTTAAACAAAATCTTTCTAATATACAAATTAACAAAACTTATTCAAAATACTTAAAGCTCTGTTTACAAAAACCAATATTACTACAAAAGTTTATATTGCTGTATTATTAGGAATATACACAATTCTTAGTAATTGTACTTTTTCATGTATGTCCAAGTTATAAATAAATTATAAATATCAATTACATTTGATGCTCAAATATCTGCATTAGTCCAAGCTCCAGATGCTTCAATATGTAAAGCAATTCCAGTTTGATGTAATTCCAGCGCTTCTTTCAGATTATTAATTTCTTCCAACATATGTCTATTGTTTTCTTCCAAACGACAAATAGTTTGTTTGTACGAAATTAGCTCCTTCTCATGCATTTTTTGTAATAATTTATCTCTTGGTGTAAAAGAACCTATATCGGCAAAAAAATCATTGTACATTATCTCAAATTTTATTACATATGATATGATTATAATCATATTCACCTCTACTAGTACAATTCACCGACGATATATTCGTTAAATATTAGTATTTATTGAAGATATATTTGACTAATATTGCATTAATAAATTGTACTATTAGAGATATGCATTAAGCACCAAGCATGTTCTGTGCAACATGTATATAAAGTATTTTCTATAATTATATAACAAGTTGAATGCTAACCCCTGGCCACTAAGCAATTCGCTATGCAACAAAGTTGAACTGGTTGCATTCATCGTTGTGCAAAGATAATTTTATTTGTGAGAATAGTGAAGCTATTCATTAACTAATTAAAATTCAAATAGATTCCGTATATTATAATATTGTATATTATGTAAATATAGAACAAAAACCGTAGTCACATATTAAAAAAAAAAAATTAATAACTGAAACACGTGATATCAACTAACCAGCAGACTTTTGTAACTGCTCTTGGAGTTTCTGACTACTCTGCGTGATTCTTCTTATTTCATGCTCGTGTTGAGTTTCTTTAAACTGAATTTGTTTCTTTAGTTTTCGTATCTGTGTAAATCAGACATTATATTTTAATTTTTGTAAATTATTCAAATCAATCAATACCAATTTTATTTTTAATAAATCATACCTCGTCTCTTTCCTGCTTCAGATTACGTGATGCATCTTCATATTTAACATTTAGTCTTCTTTCTCTTTCCTCTGCTTTACATATCATATGTTCTTTCTTTTGTATATCTTCCTTCAGACGTTTCACATGATTCTATCAATAAATTTATAATTATACACTACAATTTAAAATTATATCTTAAATAGTATATTTAATTTCCACATACTTACCAATTATTTTACTGTGCAGCGTGAAATAATATAAAATGTCTCAGTACTTATTCATGTTTTAAGTAAAAGCAAACTCACCTTAAGATTAACATTATCATTAACAGTTTTATGATTTAAATCAATCAATTGATCGTGCAATCGCATTAAGTATCTATGTTTATGTATCATTTTCCATGCAGCATTTATTACTTGTACAGATAGGTCTTTCAATGATTCTAAGGTTTGCAAATCATTATTTATGGTTACCAATGGGATACCGAATGATTCAAATTCCTATAGATTTAGACATTAATCAATATCAAGTATAAGCATATTCTAATAAGATTATTGGCTATGTCTATCTCATTACTTCATTCAGTGTATTCAAGGATTGCTGTAAATTATCTTGTTTACAGAATGCTGCTTCTTCACTAATACAGTTGTTTCGTACAGCAAACATACTTCTCAGATCTCTTTTTAGGTAATTACCAGTGGAAATTGCACTCATATTTATCTGCACACATCATTTATGTTGTAAATAAAAATAAAATTTACCATTTTTTGTATAAAAATTGTATATCTCTTACAAAGTATATATAAAATATTAAGTAAGCATATTCAAGCCTATATATAAAAATATATTCTACATTTTGTAGAAGACAGCATATTTTTCATTAAAATGATGAACTCTTTCAAATAAAATTTAGTAATTACTTATATTTTCTTAATTATTAGAATTGTTATCAAAAGAAGGATACACACCAAACAATTATATTATATGAATCTTTCAAAATAACATTTTACAATGATGATAAATGATATATATTTATTGAAAGTTAATATTTGCATTTATTTTTGCGCTTAATTCATAGCAATCGAATAAGATGTTTCATAATTATATACATATATCCAATAATTATCTTAATTAAGAAAATTGATCTCTTCCCTGTATTCCTAACCTCAATCATTCCAAATGTATATATATCTCTTTCCCAGATATTTCATCTTAGATTAATTTCCTAACCAGTCCTTTTTAATCATATTATTACTTACTATATAATGTTCTTATATATTATAATGTCCTTTTTGTTTCATTGCACGGATATAACTTTGTTATTCTCTCCGATCCTCCTACACCTACACAACAATCCCCTACGTTGGCTAACCGAAATGTCTGAAACCTAAACTTTATACTTTACCCTCTTTGGTGGCTCTCGCGCATGTCCACATTCTAGACTCCCCTCTCTCTTTTACTCATTCTTATTTCCAAACAGATATATCGAATATGTACTCTCATAATTTTATGATCAAAGAAGACACATAAATAATGATCATTTTTGAAAAAGAATGTGTAAAATTTCTAACCAAAACTAAGTTTTTTAACAAATTATTAATTATTTAATAACTAATGACAGTTAAAAAAAAATTTTATTAACTTATTACCCTTATAGAAATTTAGTTAACACTAATTCTGGTCAATTAGTCACTTATTTTCAGTATTGTGAAAACACTATTAGTAATATTTTTAATACTCAAAATATAAATGATTAATTAGCCAGTACTAATACTATATATATGTATATATATAAATTTCTATAAAGGTAGATAAAGATGTTATCTTTGATTTCTAATTAGAAGATTTAGCTTTCTGCTTAAATTAATTATTTTCTAGAATAATTTATGTTATAATTCTACCCTGTAAAGTCTCTAACGCAAATTATATAATATGATCGTTTAAAGTGGGATTTACAGAAGAAAGATAAATGAATTATATGTATTCGTGATTTATTGATCACAATACGTGCACCCCATTACAATTGACGCGCGCGTCTATTTATCATATACATTATTATCAAAATTACAAATAGAATTTACAGATTTAGCTATAGCGTGTTATTAATATCATTGACATTCTCTAATTACTATCACAATGTTTTTATTGCACGTCTTATTCTATTAATAAACATATTTTTCTTTCCGCTAAAAGACCTCTCGCATTCATTCTAAATATAATTCAAGACTGATTCGAACACGCTGCATTTTTAATTTATAAACTTTGAATTAAAAATTCTCCGTTCTTTAAATAATGAAGGCTATTCTTCCTCTTTAAGCCTTAATCAAAGAAATGATTTTCGAAATCAATTATTTTGCTCATTTCATAAATTTTCTTCGCAATTGAAATTTGGCATTATGATAATAATCACTTTTAAATAATTCAATTTCATTTAAACTATGAAATTAATTTACTATTCAATTTTTTTTTAATGTAACATTATATTTTTTAAACTTGCTTGCACATATTAAACACATATAAAACGCTTATTAAAATACATTATAAAAGATAATTATTTCAAACAATTAATTAATTTACATACACACACACAAAGAAACACGTGATCTGCACCCCTATAAATATTCCTTCTCATAATTACATCTCTTTGTAAGAGTTTATATATCACATAGTTGTAATTTATTAAATTTCGTTTGATCATGTTTCATGAAAATACGATCGTTAATTTATTAACAGTGAAAATAATTAATTTTTATTAAATCTATATAATAATTGTAATATTTAGAAATTGATAGAGAAATTTATGAATCTTTTACATCAATTTAATTGCTATTTAAATTTTAATTTATAATAGTTTTAAGATTTTTTTTTTAAATTGAATATAAGTAATTAATCAAATTGAATATAAGAATATTAATAATTAATCAAATCTATATGGGAAATTATGTAATCGCAGAAAAGTGAATCTTAAATACATGGCAAGGAATGCGATTAAAATTCGCTCGTACATTCCATTTATTAGGAAAAGTTAAGATTTAAAAAAATAAAAGTATGCGTGTCATTTTCAAATTACCCGCATTTAATTATAAAAATGCACCATACTTTTTTAATACTTAAACACGAGCTTGTTATCGAACTGTTTAATCATTTCCGTTGCCGTGAATCGGGTAAATTCTAAATCGCGAATAGGAGATATCTTAATACTTCATGTAAATTGAAAGGACTAAATATGTGTCAATGATCATTTCCTTGACACGTGAACAAAC